GCGAAATTGCTTGTTCGTAGCTCCCAATTTTATTGTCTGTGCTGTCTAAATAAATAAATCTCTCAACCACTTCATATGTTTTGAATTTCCTAACAGTTGTTGGTGGTTCTATCGAAATCATTACTTTTGTCTAATTTTTATTAACTCTTGGTCCATATATTCCACCCTTACTCTTTTTAGTTTATTCAGTATCAATTCAAGCTCTTCCTCACTTTAGGATATGGACAATGTGTCATGAGCAAAGCGAAGATTGGATACTTTGATTAAATCTACTGAAATACCTTTTTCCTTTCTTCTTATGGTGCCCTATCCAATTAGTGGATGTTGGCGACAATTCTGGAATAAAGACTAATTCTGGAAGACTCCTCGCGATTTTGTGTGACTCTAAAAAGTGCATGGGCATCGAGATTTGTCCAATCCCTTTTCTTCTTTTTATTATTGGCAGCAATTCTCGTTCTCTGTCCATTCGATTTAATACTTCGACATTTGTTGTGATGTAGAAGAACAGAATGGCTTTCGTACAGGCAGATCCTGCATGGACAGTATATTCTCTCTAAAGCAAGTTATCGAAAAAAGATTATCCCACAACCTTTCAACTCATATAGTCTTTATAGATCTGACATAGGCATACGATAGTGTACCACTTTCAATGCTTTGGGTAGCAATGGAAAAACAAGGAATAAGCAAAAAAAATATACAAGCAGTACAACAGCTCTACAAAAATATGACGGCAAACATTAAAACTGGAAATAGATTAACTAGAGAAATTCCTATTAGTAAGGGCCTAAAGCAAGGCTGCTGCATAGCACCTACACTCTTCAAAATATATCTAAATGAGGCACTCTCACTGTGGAGAAGAAAGTGCTGCAATATGAGCATCCCAATCGGAGATGATAGATTGTACACGATACATTTCGCTGATGACCAAGCCATTCTAGCTGAAGACGAGAGTGATATAAGCTACATGCTTAGAAAACTGGAAGATGAGTACACCAAATGGGGCCTCACAATTAATATTCAAAAAACTGAGTACTTAGTTATAGGAGAACAACCAGAAAGCCTACAAATAGAAATGGGAACTATAAAACCAACAGACAATTTTAAGTACTTGGGAGTCCAAATAACATCAAAAGCAGGAAGTAGCGAAGAAATACATTCCAGGATTGGCCAAGCAAGATCAGCCACCAGATAGCTACACGGACTATTATGGAATAAAAAAATAACAAAAGAAAATAAAAGAAGAATTTATAAAACAATAATAGAAAGTATTGGACTGTATGACGCCGAACTCTGGGAAATAAACCAAAGAAACAAATCAAAAATTAAGGCCATGGAAATGAACTACTGGAGACGATGTTGCCAGCTCACTAGACTAGATAGGGTGAGAAACGAAGATATTCGGAGAGAAATGGAAATCGATCTTGACATAATAGACACAATCGAAGCCAAAAGACTTAACTGGTATGGACACCTTCAGAGAATGCCGGAAAATAGATGGCCAAAAAAAATAGAAGAATGGACTCCGTCAACTAGAAGAAAACGAGGTAGACCAAGACGATCCTGGAGAGACGATGTCGACGATGCAATGACCGCCAGAGATCTAACAACTGAAGATTGCTTCGACAGAAAACGCTGGAAATTAGGATGCGAGAAGCGGCGCCAGCTGTAGAAGACTCGCTTGTTATATATATATATATATATATATATATATATATAATATATATATATATATATATATATATATATATATATATATATATATATATGTATATATATATATATATATATATATATATATATATACATTTGTTGTGTGATCAGTCCAGGGAATTTTAAGTAGGATTCAAAATACCCACATTTCAAAGGCCTCCAATCGGTTCATCACATTGGCCTTTATGGTCCAAGTTTTTACAACATATAGGAGTATGGAGTGAATGTAACATTTTACAAAGCGATATCGAAGCATTAAGTTGAGGCTGCTGTTGCTTATCAAGGTTCTCATATTAGTAAATACTGTTCTGGTTTTGCTCAATCCTGCTACGTATCTCTATGTCTGGGTCTAGATCTTCAGTTATCCAACTACCGAGATATCTGAACTTGGGGACATTTTGGATGTTCTTGTTGTTTACTCTTATATTCAATTGCATATTTCGTGTTCTACTAACCACCGTTACCTTCGTCTTGTCTATATTAATCTCGTATTAAGCCCACTCGTTCTCCTTCAGTGTTTATTCTGTTACTATATAGGTTAAATATGTGGTGCAAAAAGCATTAAAGCTGAAATGGGAATACGCTGGACATATAGCTAGGAGCGATCTAAACAAATGGCACAGATCAATTTTAACCTGGAGACCATACCAACACAAAAGACCCAGAGGCAGACCTCCTATGAGATGGACAGATGATCTGAAAAGGACTGCCGGGAAAAATTGGCTACAAGTAGCGTACAATAAAAAACAATGGAAAGGAAGACTTGAAGAGGCTTATGTTCAGATGTGGACGTGAATGGCTAGACGAAGAAGAAGAAGAAGATATAGGTTAAATAACCTTGGAGATAATATGCAGCCGTCCTGTATTTTTTTATGTCTTCCAATCTTAGTATTGCTTAATTTTTTCTACAAACTTTATAATATATGAACCAGGTGATTCGGAATATTCGTATTAACAAGGTTTGGCCAAAGTATAACTACGCACGTTCTTGAAGGCTTTTTCATAGTCTACGAAACAGCCATATTCTCGTGATTTCTCGATAATTTATCGTAGATTCATAATTGATTTTCATATTCCCCTTCCCTTTAAGAATCCGGTGCAACGTTAAATTATTACTCCGTAATATTTTTACTCAAGAGTAAAAACTTAATCCAGAGTAAAATTTTAACGTTATAATATTACTCTAGAGTAAAATTTTAACTTTAAATGTTTACTTACTCTGCGTGTTAAAATTTTACTCTTTTCAAAAAACATTGAATCTAATGAGTATTTTTGTGTTGTTAAATGTGATTTTCTTGAATTTGCTAAATGTTTTGTTTACTAATTCCGGTTACTAATAAACAAAATAAGAGAGCTCCTTTTATAAATTATTATAAATTTAAAAAGCTAACATCATCTTCATTAATTATTATATAACAATAACAAATATTTATTTGTTAATTGACAGCTTAATTACATAACCCGTCAGATGCCTTGATAACCTGAGATATGATATTCACCGTGATATGCACGTGCGGCAGATTAAGAGTGCGGATGGAAGAGTGTTAAAAACCGATGTTGAAGTAAAGCAAAGATGTTGTGAGTACTTTAGTAAGTAACTAAATGAATAACGCCAGAGGAGAGACAGAGTATTTGCGGAATCCCAAATTAAAATGTAATACCGGGGATAGCGAGAGATGAAGTTGTCGAGGTGTTAAATAGGACGAAGAACGGCAAGGCAGTAGAACCTGATGGGATACCTGTTGAGCTTTGAAAGGCTCTAGGAGAGGAAGATTTTGATGTTTTGTAGTAGCAAATGTGTGTGATAGTATCATTGTATAAAGATAAAGGGGATATTTAGGACTGTAAGAACTATAGAGTAATAAAATTAATGTCGCACACAATAAAAATTTGGGAGAGAACTGTAGAGTAAAGTTTAAGGAGAGAGACATCGATAGGAGAAGAACAGTTTGGGTTTATGCCAAGAAGAAGGACAGTTTGTTTACGTTAAGACAGTTGATATAGAAATACATCGAGAAGTAAAAAAAAAGTTACATTTAATATTTAGATCTTGAGAAGGCGTACGACACAGTTTCTAGACCAGAGCTATGCAGTTGTATGAGAGAGAAATGGATTCTTGAGAAGTACGTAAGGCTCTTGAAGAATATGTATGAGGAATCGTGGACCAAAGTAAGGACTGCTGTCGGATTTATCGAAAGTTTTCCAGTAACGGTTAGTTTGCATCAAGGATCTTCACTGAGTCCTTACCTGTTTAATCTTGATATAGATGTGCTGAAAGAGAATGTAAGGCAGGGGCTACTTGGTCAATGCTCGTTACTTATGATATCGTGTTGGCAGAGGAGAATAAACAAATGTTGGAGAAGAAGTTGGAGTGTTAGAGAAGAGCTAATAAAGAAGGAGGACTTAAGGTTAGCCGGTCAGAAATAGAGTATATTATGTGGTTGGGAGTAAGAGTAATAGTTGGGTAGAACTGCTTAGAGAAAAGCTAGGACGATTAGGAGAATTTAAATACTTTTGCTCCTACATAACGGAAAATTGGACACTAGATCGAGAAATTGCCCACATAGTACAGGGTAGTTGGTTTAACTGGAAGCGAATGAGCGGGATACTTAGTGATCAAAAAATCTAGGAAGAGCTGAAAGGAAGATATGCAAGACTGTAGTGAGACCTGCATTGGTTTACGGCGGAAAAGTGTGGCCAGTTAGTTGGGTAAGACTAGATGGGACAGGATCAGAAATCACCTGATTAAGGCTGGATGAACAGCCGGAGTGAATAAAGTATCCAAAAATGTTGAGACAGAATACAGAATAAAGACTGCAATGGTTTGGTCATGTCTGACATAGTGATGGAAACTATATGGGACGAAGGATAGATCTGTTAGAAGTTGATGGAAAAACAGGTACTGGAAAACCGAGGAGAAGATGCAATGACTGTGTGGCAGCGGATTTAAAAAAGAAAGGTTTTGGTGAAGATCAGATTGACAGAAATGAGTGGCGACAAAGAGTAAGGAACTGCGGCCCCTGAAAAGGGAAAATCTGAGAAAGAAGACGAAGAGGTTGTTTTTCCATCATACGTTTGCCTTAAAAGTTTCACATACTATCTGTCTAATACGGTATTCGATAACTTTAACTTAATAGTCGGTATTACTATCTTAAAAGTTTCTATTATTGTTCTTTACTCGTTTGAAAATTTCATATTTCCACGTACTTTTAATATCTTATCTTTTATTATTATACTCACATACGATCTTATTGTGAAATATTAAAAGTAAACATTTACTAAAATTTCAGGCTGGTATAATGCATATGACGAGAATAAAAATGGGAGCAATAAAGAAGTATCTTCAATTTCTACAGGAAGGATTTCCAATGAGACTTAAGATGATTCATATTCTTAACGGAGTCTACTTTATGGATAAAATTTTAGCTCTTGTACAGGTGTTTATAAAAAGTGAAATGATGCACATGGTAAGTCCTAGCAGCACAACTCTGTAACCATTCTTATATATTATTAACATTGTTATCGTTTTTTTAAGTAACTGCTTTTAAGTAAACTCTTTTCGTGCTGACTGGAACGCATATTGATGGTTGCAGAAAATAAAACCTGCAGTATATATTCGAATTGTATTACATCGTCACTCACAGTCTGGCAAATTTGACTTTGTCTTTCAAGGTTAAATGAGCGTTTGTCAATGGCGCAAGCGAAGGCGCAATGCTCTCTGTTCACATCTAGAAAATTTAGAAGCATCTAGAAGCTTCTTGGAAGTTTGTTGAGCAGCTCATCATTTAACAGATTTGACTTTATTTAAGATCAACCCAGTTTACAGTGGGAGTGAGCTCCAAAAAGAAGGAGAAAGCTTATGTGCAAATATACAAGCACCTTGAGAATATCCGAGAGAACTTTAAGAACAAGTTTCAAAATTTTACTATGTAAAATGGCAAACAATTTTTCATTTATTAATTACGTTAACTTATCAATGTCCATTTTTCTTAATTATACTTTACTTTAATTTCAATATTTTTTTTACTATTTCTAAAAATACCTGTTATGTCTCACGTAGATCATTTACTCGCACCACTCGCTATCACAACACATCTTCAAAAATACTATTTATGAGAAATAGTTTTTAATGGAAGTGATTTCTTCTGGAAGTTGTTTAGAGCATATGGTTTAGTAGAAATGACATTTAGTGGAAGTTTTTTTAGTGGAAATGATTTTTTGAGAAAGTGGATGTTAGTGAAAGCGGTTTTTAGTGGAAGCAGTGTTAGTGGAAATCTTTTTGGTGGAGCATGTTGTTCCATTTTGTCCCATACCCAGGTACTTTACCCATATTGGTAAAGAGCTGTTAATTTCTTTAGTAAAAATACAGTAAATGGTTGCAATAGCCGTTGGTATACTTAAACAAGAGCAAGGTTAAAAATATTGTTAAGCAAAGAAATAATACTGAAAAAGGGGAACAAAACATTACAAAGCATAAGTGCAGAACACAAAAAAAAATCAATTTAGATGAAGTCGATAACAAAATATTATATATAAATAAAAAAACAGTACCTAATCTTAAATAGTTACATAAAAGAATTAGAGAAGACTTTAACTTTGCCGACTCTGGAGAAAATTTACGTAAACTCGTATATAGATAATGAAGTGGCTTCTGGCCTAATCTACTGCGACCTTTTAAAATCTATTGTGCTTCTCTAATCCTAGATTACATTCTTTAGTCTGGCCGTATTTAAAAGGTGTATTAGCTTCGAGACTGAACCTTACATGTAGTTCTTTAAGTCTGGTGTAAATTTTTGCGTATCTTCTATAGTAAACTGTTTGGCCTGTCTCTCTCCTGATGAATTCCTTCAAAATTCCAGAGATTTGTGAGCTACCCACATTCTTGTAGCCCTTCTTGGCTGCCACTGCAATGCCGCTAAAGTGTTCCTTTCCAATGAATGATGAATGGCATTAATGAACCATGTTTGGTCATTTTATCTGGTTTTTCATTATTACCCTCGTGTCCTGGTACCCAGGCTACCGTAACCTTGCTACGGTCTCCTAGTTTATTTAGGATACTCACACCACTAGCTTAGATTTGACCTCTACAGAATTGAGTGCCTTAAGCGGTGTCTGGATATCTGTGAAGATGGCAATTGAACGGAGCGTTCTTTCCTGTCTTTCTATGTCTTCCACGCAGTGATGGATTGCCGTTAGTTTTGCCTGGAAATTTTGTTAATTTTGTTAATCTTACTTTGCTATTTCCATACTATTTTTGATGCATCAGTGTACCGGGTAGCTTCCTTTTGTATGGGTATACCTTTCTCCCAGTATTCCCTGACTGGTATATTAATTTTGAATTTATTGTCAAAGCTATATCTCGTAGCTGTTTCATCGATGGGTTGCCCCATTACAATATCTGCTTTTAGCTCCTCGATAAGCTTTCTATTAGTTTATGTGGTGCTGAATATGTATTATTCTGTTCATCACAGATCTGGCTTTGCCTTGTATAAAGATATGAAGTGGTGGAAGATTCTGCAGAACTTCCAACTTCCATAGATTATCATTGGTCTAATATCCCTTGTGTATAAGCAGCTTTCTGTATGGTTTTCGCTATGTGAGTGTTCACTTTGGTCAAAATATATCCCTAGGTATTTTGTTTCTTTGGTAAAAGGAATCTTTGTTGAATCTCACGGGTTGGTGAGTATTGATTCTGTTGCCTAATCTGGGTTAAATGATGTGCGTTGCCGTCTACTCTGGATCAGATACTACGGTTTGTTTAGTTTGTAGAATTAGCGAGTAGATATTTTAACTGGTCAACATATCTTCATTGCCCGTGGATAAAGAGGCCACTTTAATAATAACCCACAACACTAACAAATACCTTTATTTACTGTTAACAAATACCTTTATTTAAAATATTATTTACTGTTTTTATATTTACAGCTTAAAATTCATCCACCCAATTTAACACAAGAAAAGCTCTTTGAGATAATACCAAAGAAATATTTGCCGAAGGATTATGGAGGCGATCTTCCTTCTGCAGATGAACTTCATAATGCGACGATAGAGCTGTTTAATAAAAAAGAGAAGTTTTGGGAAATGGAAGAAAAGATACGAAAAATTTCATATAAGGGATAAAAAAAACTGTGTAAATAAATATGCATAAACATTATTTTTGATTACTTATGTATAAATCAGAATTTCCCAACGTATTATTGTACTTATGCTTTACGATATTTATAAAAGCTGTTAAAACTA